ACTTAGTAACCGACTGGTCTTTTAGGCCCTGTCCACACGTAGCCGGGGATCTGCCAAAACGTAGATATTTTTCTACGTTCTGGCCTGTCATCCACACGAAAACTGAGGTTTTTTTCACACGAAAACAGATCTTTTTAAAAACTCCGGCCAAAGTGAAGATCTGCGTTTTCTCCGTTTTGGGTGTCTGCGTGTGGACAGACAAAACCAGAGTTTTAAGGTCCACAACGTCACTTTCCGCGACAAAAAAATGCTGACATCACGTGGGCGACCTGTGTTTACACTAGCCAACAGCATGCCCTCAGAGCTGCGCTCGCTTTATCAATTGTCCAAGCGCTTTCTGCTTGTTTGTTTTTGCAAGCGGCATTACTGCTCCTTGTGGAAGACCACAGACGAAGGACGAGGTTAAGAACGGGGGAAGTACTGCCGCCTACAGGTCTGGCATGTCCGTAACAACGTATTTATCCGGGTACGTGTGGACAGTTTTTTTTAAAACGAGGTAGTGAGGAAACAAGTTTTTGGAGGGGCGGATATTCGTTTTTTAAAAAATCCGGCTACGTGTGGACTAGGCCTTAGTCGTAGATTCTGATACAGCAGTAAACAGAATAACTCGTTTATTATCTGTATTCAACCTCATCAATGAGCTATGCCCTAATAAGATTCAGATATCCCTCACTGTACCACCAAGCAATAAACTCAAAAGAGCAGTTTAGGGTGTGTTCTGTGATAACCTGCACAACTTTCCATTTTTGGTTTTGTTTTTCTGGGTGACGGAAAATATTTCATACATGCCTGCAGTAACTGGATAAAAACACCGCTTTAATGTAAAACGTCAGTCAAAACGTGGATAGTCTTTGTACCAGGGATGATCTTGTGTCGACGCGAGTTGTCTGAGAGCTCAAAGAGGCAACACACTTTACTCAGACTTTTAATATCATTCATGATGCCTACATTTGAAACACACAAATGTAAAAAAAAAAACTTTTAAACTGATGGAACACTTTTAACTTCATGGTTTTGGCCCTCACCTTGAAAGGTTTGAACACCCCTGGTCTAGGGTTTCTGTGACTGTGGGAGTTCATGGGAGAATCATTGTGGGAACTTGCTGCTGATGCATAGTTTTGCAAACATGGGGAGTAACTCAGAGACAAGAAGAAGAAGAAGAAGGCCTTTTTAACAGGTAACCATATTAGTGACATCATGATAGTTTTCCCAATCTGACGCAATCCAGTCAGGTTCTAATGGATTTTGGAGAGCAGAATCTGGTGAGAAGGTGGGTTTAGCAATGATAAAACTGTAGTCTTCAAGCTGGACCGTGAACTACATTCCTTTCCAAAGATAGCAGAAAAGCTTTAACTAAAAACAAACGTTTCTCTAAAATCCCTTCATGATGTAAGTCCATAGATAGCACCAGAATGCACATCCCAAGCTCTCAGCTGTAAATGGTCTTTCTTCTATCTCCACTGAAGTATGGATAACAGTTACTGTCTCACTAGGTAATCAACTGTCCACTAAAAGCGTATTTTCAATTGCTCAGCTCTATGTGGAGGACAAACTAAGCCCCCCCCCCTCCCTTTGTGAAAGAGCAAGTAACGTCTAAATTAACTTTTTTTTTGCTGATGAACTGTATAAATGAGTGTCTAATAGTGTTTTAAATGTGTGTATTCATTATTTTAGCATTTTGGTGCATTTTCTTTAAAAATTAAAAATTCTGCCTAAATACCACAGTATAGCGCCACCTTCAGCTTAAAACATATAGTTTGAGTCATTTTGAATACACTTTAGCCAATGGCTAAAGAGTAAGATACTACGTAAACCAGTAGAGTACTACGTAGCAGCTCTGTGTCAAAGTTCATAAGGTGAGCAACACCACATATTATTGTTATTATTGTACACTGTCCTGGAGTTTTCTTTCTGCATCTCATTATTAGCCTGGCTGATCACCTGATAACTCCTGTCATCTGGTTGTGACAGCATGAGGATGTCCTCACACACCTGTAACCTATCAGCTCATCTGGCAGAATAGAGAGAGAAGAGACAACGCCACATCTCCTGTTCCTGGAAAGCCTTCAGCCATCCTTCGATGACTGAGAACCTCCATCAGCTCTGTCTCCTGTCTGCCTACAATTATTATAATAAAGATTGTGTTTGACAAGTTTTTTGTGCTGCCAAATGTCTCATTTTGATTCCGGTTTTGATATTTTAATGGATATTTATAAATTACATTAATTGAATTATCACATTGCATGTTTAACTAGCTCTATTGTGATGAATTAAACTAGCACCTCACTGTTAAAAGCTCCTTTTAATTTCAAGCATGTTTAAGTATTCATGGACATGAAAAAAAACAGGAAATATATCAATTGAGATTTATTTAATTAATATAACAAATAAGGGGGAAAGAGTCATTGAAAGGCACATTCTTCTGGAAGCTCCTGATCCTGACGACACCAGCAGGAGACGACCGGCTGCAGACACCAGAGGATCACCTACGACCAAGAGAGCAGCTGGTATCAGTAAATAAATAATGAAATCAGGGCAGTTTTAGTGGGCTGAACACATTACAGAATAATTTTCTCATGGGGTATTTTCATAACTTTCTATGCAGCAGACTGTAACTTGAGCCCAGGGCTCTTGGAGAGCTGCTATCCAGCACGTTTCAGTGGTTTTCCTGATTTAGCGGGTTAGATTAGCTGTTAAGCAGCTCAGCTACTTGTTGCTGATTAAAACCAGGTGTGTTGAAGCAGATACATCTCTAAAACATGCTGAATACTAGCTCTCTAGGGCCGTGGAGCCAAACCCTGCAGCTAATCTAATGCTATGGCTAACGGCTACTTACCGTTCAGAGCTGGTTCTGTTGGGTCGGTTCCGGTAGTTTCAGGCAACTCACAAGCTCAAAACAATAAGGCTCGTGTCCGCTTGTCTCCTCCAAATTGACTTGGTTCCTTTCTTCTCAAGTGTCTGGGTAAGGAGGGGGCGAAACGTCCTCCACTTGTAATAACTGCTCAGAGTGAAGGGAGCTAGCATCGTCTCGTTACCCATCGTCTTCGTCACTGCCGCGGCTCCGCCCTCTCGGTCCACCAGGCAACGCCTACTAATGTTGCAGTTTTTAAAATTGATACGTGGGTGGAGAAGGACTCTGAGGCACACTTGACCCGCTCTTGAAAGAACAAGTGCACTCCACTCCCTCCTGGGAGACAAGGCAAGGGGTGTGTGTGTTTGTGGCAAAACAGTAACAGCAACAAGCTTTCCCAAAGAGCTCTTCACAACCTTTTAAACATGGTGTGGACAATGGGTAAGACTGCCAAAAACCTGTCAGAACATGAAAGGAAAGTGAGGAAGGATAACAGAGGACGAACAGTTATGTAGATCTTAAGGCAACAACAAAAATAGTCTTTGGCTTCCAGTGGATTTTCTCAACAAAACACAGCAATAAACCATTTACATGAAACTACTAACGCTGATAAAACTGATGCAACTGGTCTCAAACAAAATGTTGGGTTCTAGAATAAACGCAAATGAAATTGGAAGAGCCCAACCTGTTAATCCAGAGTTCAAAGGTGCTCTACCTCAATCTGAACTAGTTTGATATGTAGGAAACAAGTCCAATCCAGATTTTGCAGGCATCTTAACCCCAACTTCCCAGTATGAGGAACTACCCCAACCTGGAATCTACTTCACTACGAACCACAGCTGCTCTGTCAGATTAGTGGTTTAAAAGCCAATCTTCGTCAATAATTATATAACCTTTTCATTTTCTAACGTTTCTGGTGTTTGAGCACAAAAAATGCACATACAAAGCTTCCTATAGAAATATTACATAATCCTTCATATGTCCCAATTTTTTTTTACATGCTTTATGATGATGTCAACATCATAGCAATTGTGAAGCATATTTGGAATGAAATCTAACAGAAATTTATCATCAATAGGTTTAGCCTGAAAAGCCACTTCCTTTCTTTTTGTATCTAAATTATCCGGACTTCATATTTTAACTAGTGAGGCACCGATATAAAAATTTTGTGTCGATACCGATATTGAGATCCCTGTTATGGCCGATAACAGATATTTGCCGATACCGATATACAGACATTAATGCTTCTAAAATCAGCAGATTTTGTATAGAATGAAAATTATTAAAGCTGAATTTACATTATTATGTATACACAACACACACATTTACGGTTCTGAGATGATTACAATCACTGTTCACATGACCAACCCCCCCCCCCCCCCCCCTTTCCCGGAAACAGATAAACAAACGGAGACGAGATGGAAAAAATATCGGTTGTTAATATCGGCCCAGTTTTATTTATCGAACCGATACCGATATGTTAAAAAAAAGACTAACATCCGCCGATACCGATATTAATGTCGATATATTGTCCATCCCTAATTTTAAGGAGCAAGCAGAAACTAGCTTGCATCAGCAGGTGGCAGAGGTGATCCGTTTAGTGATGATTCAACATGGATCTGCTGTGATTCAGAGAAAGTAATGTCCAACCAGGAGGCGAACATACGCTGAAGCATTTTCTATGGAGAAATGTCCCGTGCTACCACAGATCATGGGCGAGTTGAAACAAACAAACAAACAAACAAAAAAAAAAGAGAAGATTTTTGACATGTCATTCACCGCTGATGTGCTTACTTTTCTGAACACCATATGAGCACGACAAGTGAGGAAGTACATGTCATTTGGAAGGAAATACTAAATAAAAGCATGCCTGCAAAGCAGATTGTGATGAAATTATGTGCTAAAAGTCTGGTAGAAAAACAAATATTAAATCCCCTGTATTCACAAACAACTCATTTCAAAAACACACACATGGGTTGAGTCCTGTTTATGCCCGAGTGTACGCCCTAGCTCATGCAAATGATTGTATTAGGCATTAGATCATCTCTGAGCATAAAAAACAGACATCTGTGGTCTCTGAAGAATTATCAGACAGACACAGTCTCTGCGGCGTTAGTTCTGGTGAGTCAGGTAGCCCGTTAACTCTTACCTGACTAGTTTTAGATCCAGGTCCACAGCTGGTCAGTGGAGGGGAGTTGGTATTAGAGTCTTCATCTATGGCGGTGATGACCGTTATCTCATCTACATCCTCCAGCACACGCGGAACTTGGCCCCTTACCTCCATCATTTCTGCATCCACAAAATGTGCCCACCTTCTTAACTTGACCTCAGTCTGGCTCACACATGCGTCACGTCAGCGGTACGCTGCTTCTTTCCTTCTCCTGATCCATCCTGGAGTGTCCATTTGACTGCGTGACTTCACGTTTCTCCTTATCCACACTCTGGTCCCTCGCTTTATATAGAAATGTCTCCCATCATGCCCCGGGAGGCTTTGTATGGAACTGCACGCTCACTTGGCACACAATGAGAGGGGTTTTATGAAGGAAGACGTGAAGCGAGGGAGCACGGAAGGAAGAAAGGGAGTTGGCAAAGGAGGGAGAGGGCAGCCAGTCACATGGGACGGACCTGACAGCGACTGGAGCTGGAGGGAGGGATGAAAGGATTGATGAAGATGATGACCAGAAGGGCAGAATTACTATAAAACTGAATTTAGTGAGCAAATCCTTGGTTTTTAAACTCCTAAAAGCCTTCGAGGAATCCTCCTTCCTTCTTCCCTCTCTGCTCGTCTGCTCCATCAGCACCACTCTCCATCCATTGCTTCTGACCCAGTGAGCACTGTGATGTCACCAAGCTGCCACTGGCATGACCTCATGTGTGTTTAAGTACGTGTGCATGTAGAAAGTAAGCAGCAGGGTCTAAACACCAGGTCGTGTTTACGTCTTCAGATTTTAAGGGCCGATATCAAAGACCTATTTTTTTTTAAAAACTGACCCGACCTGCCGATACCGATTTTGCCAAAGGCCAATTTATCTCAGAGAGTTATAATTACTAGAATACTTTTTTTTAAATCTGAATTATTTTTGTTATTTCTAACATGAATGAACATAAATTAGCTCTTAGCAATGGTGAATTCAGGGATAAGAAGAAGAAAAAAAGCCAGATCTTTCTTTTCTCTGGGTTTGATTTTAGCGTTTGACTAAAGCATTTAATTTATTCGTTTATAAATTAAAACGATTTTTGAAGCTCTCTGTTAGAAAAAGGTCCATCTAAGATTACGTGCAAGCACAGATAGCGGTAACAGCAGCTAGCTTTAGCACTTCCGGTGAAGCTTTGGGCACTTACTTCCAGAACGTCAAAATATTTTGGCCAAAACAACCGATGTGTTTGAAACTGATGGAAGAATGAATGTTCAGAAAAGAGTTCTGAAAATGTTAGAACCTGTAGTTGATTTATTATGGTTTACTGCTTCTACTGTGACTAGCTGCTGGTTCTTCAGGTCTTTTCAACATTAATCTCTGTTTTGCCTAGCTGAGGTTGTTCAAAGGCTCACTGGTAAGATATTAATTGTAGCATTACCACATAAACATACTTTAAAAGACAAAAAACCTGAAACAAACACTTTGATCTTTTTTTCAACCTGATCTTAAATATTATAATTCAATATCGGTTTATTTCAAAATAAAATTAAAACCCAGTGAAAGGTTGAGGGGTTTATATCCAGTTACACTTATGAAGGCTTTTAATTTGTTTGTTTTAGAAATCTAATACAAAAGGTTCAAAACAGTCAACATTTTAACTGATGGAAGGTGGAGTTTTTCAAAATAAAAGCATATTCCCCTTAATCAGTTTAAGCAAATAACAGTCAATGGTTTTATTTGGGAAAGCCACCAGAAAATGGTCAGGCACATTGACTATGGCATTTTTATTAATATTCATTGATAAAAAGAAAGATTTCCTGATGAGCAAATTTGTACCGATGATGAGGTCTAATTAGTCAGTGCAGAAGCAAAAACTAGCATAATGAAATGAGACATTTCTTCTGTGTAGCAAAACAACAATTATAGACAAGTTTAAAAAACTCCCAAAATGTGACTTACTGAAAAAAAACTAAATGTAATCTATAGACAAGTTTCATTACAGAACAACTAGAAAAGAACATTACTCAATATTTCTGAGCAGCTTATGAGCAGAAGCCAGAATTCAAGCAGCAGCTGTTAGCGCCATCAAATCTCCATCTCCACAGAGAAAAGCAAGATCAGAGTGGAGCAGCAATGAGATTCGGTCTTCCGGGAAGCTAAGACAGGAAACACTCACCAGGAAGAAGGGATCCCAGACATGAACACAAGCTCTCTTCCTCCTCCAAGAACGTGCCATGGCTACCCCTGCGCCAACCCTTCCTTGGACCTCCAAACGACAGCGTCATGAAGCTACTGAGGAATAATCACACCAAACTCTCTAAAAACAGCGTTCAGCTCTACTTGGCAAACAGCTGAGACCCCAAAGCAGCTGAGTAATTGGGTCCAATGAACCAGGCTGCAGGACGGTTGGGACGATGATGAAACGGAGAGAGGTGAAGGAATGTCATTTGGTAAGGTTTGACTTAAACAACAAACTCTTCTACAGGGTATCTGCAGGTTTAAGGGAGCCAAATTTAAGACTTTTAAAGACCTTTTTTAAGGCCACTTAGACCAAATTTAAGCTATTTTTAAAATTAAATTTAAGCTATAATTTCCAGCTATTGCCTGGAAGCGGTGCTAACCACGTCGCAAACGTAGGATTAGCCATCCAGTTACCATTAAACTTGCACTTCCCCATGGCGCAAGCTCCCACTAGCTTAACCAGCTAACGTGCTCATCTAAAAATAGCCCCCTTTCACAACCAACTGAATGTGTACGGTTCTGCTTACGCCAACATCATACACAAAAAATGCTGAAGACTAACTAGAAATTCAGGAAAACAAAAGAATCGTGATTATTGGCTCTTTGGTAATTTAAGACCTTTGAAAACTGTATTTAAGGATTAATAGCCATTTTTAAGGATTTTTATGGCCTTAAATTTGGAAAAGCTAATTTAAGACTTTTTAAGGATCCGAGGATACCCTGTTCTAACTTGGGAAACTAGAATGGATGGTTGGGATGTCTGCTTTTTTGTAGCTTTGCAAGAACTTGGTGTACAACCATCTCTAGAATTCACTGCCTTTAGTTTGGCCTTGAGCTGTAAAGGTGACGCAATCCAACACATCCAATGCAAAGAAAACAAGTTCAAGCGCATTTCAAGCCAAATCTCCTCCCGTTGTCGGTTTGCAATGTTCTCACAACCCAAGCGCATGAACTTACAGATCCCATAAGCAAGATTCAAACAATACAAGGCTTTTATTTTTGGAGTGCTGATCGAAAAACACACCCTCTTGGTAGAAAAACACCTCATAAGCTGCTAAACTTCTGCATCGACTCCAGCGACCCTGATTCACCTCTCACTATATTCAGTCAAACATCGTCATAACCGACCCAGTTCCACAAACCACTCAGCGTTGGTACATCAATACCAAGTCGATGTGTCTGCTATACTCACTTCCATTCCCACGGACATCCGATCCGCAGCTCGGAGCACATGTGGACCAGCCACACACGAGTCGTACCACACTGAAGTGTTGGCTCCTGATGAAGCTCTTTGAGTCTCAGTTTCAAAACATTAGCATTCGGCCTGGAGGTCTGGACTTGTTCCGGGAAGTGAAGCAACCTACTTAAAGAGTTCTGTTCAAACTAATCATTGAACCTAGGTAATATCAGCTGTTTTACCCATAAGCTTTGGGCCTGGATGTCTGCAGTTCCCAATTCGTCATGACACGACTGCCCATTTAAAACAGAGTCCAGGTCTTTAGTTTAAGGTAATTCCACCTGTTGAGGTGAAAACCCTCATTAGACCTTTTAAGACCTGTATTGGGATCTCAAAATAGTCTTAAAGGTTGTATGGTGGTGTCTCCGTGGATCAAACTCCACAACATCTCAGATGCTTTATTGGACTGAAATCTAAAGAATTCAGAGATGAAACAATCTTCTCTTTAATTAGGTACTTTAAAGCATTTCTTTAGTATTACCCTAGAAAAACACCACCTCCATCCAAGAATAGTCTCTTATAGGGATGTAAGAAAATATCAATATGGCAATATATCGCAACATTTTTTCCTGCGATATTATATCGATACTCAAAAGCTGTTTATCGAACTTTTGGAAGAACTTACATGCAAACATTTGTGTATTTTCTTTTGGTGCAATTCAAACGCCGGCCACTAGTTGGCAGCAGTGTGCAATGGCTTTTGTTTTCCCTACTGAAGTGTAAATCCCTCAATTATGGCTTAGATAAATCATGTTAAACATGTTGCGCATCACTTTGGACTGTTTATTGAATTTTCCTACAATAACTTCAGTCTGAAAAAAATAGAATCGCTAATATCGTCTGGCAGAATGTATCGCAATATATGTGATATATCGTACCGTCTCCCCTGTATCGTATTGCCACAATTTCACCAATACACATCCCTAGTTTCTTAGCTGTGATGGTTAAAGTGGTAGAATTGTCCAAAGCATAGCGCTCTCCGTGTACAGCCTAGCATCCACAGCCATCATAAGCCTTGGTTGCCTATGACCTTGGCATTTTTCTTTCTTGGACTCTGTTTTGTAGGATTTGATGACTGTAAATCAAGACTGTCCCATAAACTTTGCTTTTGAAGAGGCCTTTTTACATGAAAATCACATTATGACACTGTACATAAAGATATTCAACTACTGCTATCACATATAAGCTAAGGGTCTGAAAAGTTCTAGAGATGTTCCAGATGAAACAAACGTGGATGTTTACAACGTTTGCTTTAGTATTCTCGGTGGGTTTCCACCCAATCAGCCCCTTATATGGCACAGGATTGTGGACAAAGGATTTTGCTCAGCATGGCGGTCTAACCACGCTCCATTGTGGCCTCAGAAGGTCTACTACAGGCCTGGGGTCTCATTTATCAAACATTGCGTAGAATCCTTACTAAAACCGTACTTAAGCTCAGCAAAAAAAAAAAAAGTACTTACGCCAAGCAGGTTTGTGATCCATCAAACATGGAGTACGCACAGAAGAAGAAGAAGAAGAAGAAAGAAGAAAATGTCATTTCTATAGCGCCTCTCAAGATAAAAATCATGAGGCGCTTCACAAAAACAAAAAATGTAAGAATATAAAAAAGCATTTACAAAATGTTTAAAAATATATTTAAAATGAGCAAAAAGAGACAATTGTGATAAAAAATGTTAAGAAAGAGAATAGGAAAGAGGGAAATCAGTGGTTCCTGAGGAAGGTGGAATAGGTGGGGAGAGCAGAATAAAGAGCTGCACGCAATCTCCGCTTCATAAATTGGAGGCTAACGAGAATGGTTCTCAGCTGCATTTTAGTCGCATCCCGCCCTCACCACGCCCACTTACTGCCATAAATAGTCAATGCAAAGTGTCTTGTGGATCCATGCTGATACATAAGCCGGCTGTTGCTGCGCTCAGCCAATGACGATGGCGACTGTAGATCAAGGCAGATCAAGGCAGATCAAGGAAGCGCAATTTCGCAGAAGCATAAATTGAGGTACCTGTGGGTGAGGTGGAGAAATGAAAGGAAGTGCTTTTTCAAAACAAATAAGAGAAAATCCACGGAGTGGCACAGCGTTGCTGAAGCCGTCAATGTTGTGAGTTCTTCAGAGAGATCTGTGGCGGACATAAAGAAAATGGTCCAATCGGGATTCAATCCCCAGACTCCCGGGTGAAAGTCACACGCGCTAGCCAGTCATCCAAACAGAGATCTCCCCTGTACAAGTAGCCAGGGCGCATGATCAATCGGGTCACAGTGACAGGACACACACTGTCACAGACGCATGATGTTCTGTCTCAATCTGGACCCCTGCTGATATTCTGCATTCCGTATTCTGCACTTCAGGCTGTGTGTGTGTGAGTGCGAGCATGTGTGTGTGTGTGAGTGCGAGCATGTGTGTGTGCGTGTGGAGGGTCTTGTTCTGTGTGAAAACGAAGCTGTACAAGTGATAATGCTGCAGGATTTCATAATTGTATCCTTCTCAGCAGCAGCACTGCAGGTGCTCTCCATGTCCAACATGTGTGTAAGCCAGGTCCTTAGCCAACTTAAAGTTGCGCACATTTTTCCGCTACGTCTTCTTTCATAAATCTCAAAGTTTGCATGGAAAGTTGCTTACGCAGTTTTCCGACCCTGTTTTGTGCGTAAGCAAGCTTGATAAATGAGGCCACTGTGCAATATTGTGTTATGCCAATCACAGCTCTCTATCAGTTCGGTGGGCGATTTGATACGACAGCGCAGAACAACAAAGATCAATCAATCAATCAATCATCTTTATTTATATAGCGCCTTCCACTGCCTTTGCGGGAGCCCAAGGCGTTGAACATAAAATACACTAAAAGCATAAAGAGCAATAAAAAGGAGATAAAAGCAACAAAATAAATGTAAAAGGAGCATAAATTTACAAAACCAAGATGGCAGTGGTTTATTTGAAACAACTTTGGCATCAAACTTGGACTATTTAGACTTGGGCTTTTCTTTGAGTCAAGAGCCAATAGAGGTACGGCGGACTGCCCCGTCGAGCCCAGGTCTCCTGCATGAGAGTCAGACATCTTACTAGGTGAGCTAAAGCGCCGATGATGTACAATCCATCTGTAACATTTATATCCTTGATGACAGCTGGAACAACGTCAATCCAAAAAACGGTTCAGAGCGAAAATGGCTATTTTGTTGCTAATTTGCAGGAAATATCTAGAAGAAAGTTCTACAGAAAGTAGCTAAGGGTCCTCAGAAATGTAGCTAGCTTAGTCGCTAGGCGTTAGGAACAGCGACAAAGTGGCACTGCCTCTCTCTCTGCTGCTAAAGCTATGGATAGCAAACGCTACGGGCTATGCCTGAGCGTGAACGCGCATGAAGCAGCCTGCTCGACCCGAGCATCTCTCTTTTTCTGTGATTTTACAGAAAAACAGGCAATCACAGTAAAATGCCAGGGCTCATTCTACAGGAC